GTGCGTGATTGTTTTAATGGCTTCATTGCTTTCCCTGCTATTACTACAAGTTATTCATAGTTCTTGTTAGACTGCAGGGACCCTTTCTCCTGTCTTTTTCCGCTTAGTGACATCCAGAATGAAGTGGCATTTCAGTATTTGTGACCATCTCGTGTCCATCCATTAGTACCTCCCACATGTTATGAACTGGGTTTTTGTGAATGAAGGTCCTCCTGGGGTGCGTATTAAATTGCTGAGGGTTTTCTTCCTGATACCCCACCTCCTCAGAACGGCAGTGTGTCCTCACACTTGCTCTTTTGTGCTTTGCACCCTTGGAGTCCCCTGGGTCAAGGATCCAGTGCCATGTGAACAGGTATGTTCACCACGGTCCGGAAGTGAATTTCTTAGGTCAGTTCTTTGGTCATCTTGGCCATGGTCCTTGTCTTAGTTAGGGTTTCTATTGCAGTGAAGAGACGCCATGACCGCGGGAACTCTTAGAAAGGAAAATAGTTGATTGGGGCTGGCTTACAGTCTCCGAGGTTCAGTCCGTTATCTTCGTGGCAGGGAGAGTGGGAGCGGGCAGGCTGACATGGCGCTGGAGAAGGAGCTGAGAAGCCTACATCTTGATCTGCAGGCAGCAGGAAGAGACTGAGGCACACTTCCTCCAACAAAGCCACACCTACTCCAACAAGGCCACACCCACTCCCACAGAGCCACACCCACTCCCACAGAGCCACACCTACTCCAACAAAGCCACACCTACTCCCACAGAGCCAGAGCCACACCCACTCCCACAGAGCCACACCCACTCCCACAGAGCCACACCCACTCCCACAGAGCCACACCCATTCCCACAGAGCCACACCCACTCCCACAGAGCCGCACCTCCTAATAGTGCCACTCCCTAAGGGCCTATGGGGCCATTTTCATCCAGACCACCCCGTTATGGCGACTCTTCCTCTCCTTTCCCTTTCTGTGTCTGTGGTTGCTGCTCACTTGGACCTTGGTTGCTTCCGGCCTGGCTGCTCCTTGCACGGTTCCATGGCTTTTCCCACTCCAAATGTCTCCACCCTTGGTTGGTGGTATACTGGTCCTGGCAGCACCCTGATGCGACTTGGTTTTTTTCCTATTTCAAGTTCACATCTGTGCGCGCTAACATCTGCAGGGGAAGTGGGTCCTGCTGTGAAATCACTTCCTCCTCCGTAGCCGGCTCCCCCACCAGGTCAATTCTCCTCCCCCACCATGGCCAGCATCCCGGAATGCCCTTTTTTGGACCTCTGCTGGCAGGTCCCTGAGCTGTGAGCACCCTGCCCTTCCTCCCGCCGTAGCCCGCTAGGTGCAGGGGATGGCCCAGCCCCCGCGTTGTCTCTAGGGACTGTGTGGTGTGGTTTCTTAAACCCTGTGCCAGTGCAGACTGCCATCTGTCCCCCCACCCCCACTGCTAGGCTAGTGCTTCACACCAGACAGCGGGTCGGAGGTGGGCATTAGGGAACAGGCCGTTCTGAAACCCAGCAAAGAGTCCTTTGTGTTAAGGTTTTAAAGGATGGTGTTTGGGAACAGTGTTTAACAGCCTCTTTCGGATCCCTCTCTCCCATAACCATCAGACTGGACAGAATCTGATTAACTTTGAGACTGAAAAGGTCACATCACTCATAACTTCCCACTTAGAGATTTAAAAAATAGAGCCCAAGGAAGTCTTCCTGAGACCCTGACCTATTGGATCATTTTACTCCTATTATTTATTGTTATTATTATTGTTATTGTTATTATCTATTGCCTTGGCTGTTCTGGAACTTGCTCTGTAGACCAGGCTGGTCTCGGACTCAATGATCCTCCTGCCTCTGCCTCCTGAGTGCTGGGATTAAAGGTGTGTGCCACCACTGCCTGGCATTTTACTTGTGTTTTTTAAAAGATTTATTTTTATTGTTTTTAATTGCATGTAACATGTAACACACACACACACACACACACACACACACACACACGCACGCATGCATGGAGGCCAGGGCTATCAGATCCGCCTGGGGGTGGAGTTACAGGCATTTGTGAGCAGCCTGACGTGAACAGCGGGAACTGAACTCAGGTCCTCTGTGAAGAGCGGTGCATGCTCGCAACCACTGAGCCGTCCGTCCAGTTCCGTCACTGTGGTTTTATCTGGTGATAGCTTGGGCATAATCTGGAGTTAGAATTTCTGTGAGAAGGGGACAGGTTACTACCCTAAGGTCAGGGTTTTATGGTCATCAGCATGGAATATGATGGGGCAGCGACTTCATGTCGCAAAGAGCCTCATGAATGCCTATAATAAAAATCGGTTGGGCGGGTGTAGACGTCATCCCTCCAGCCTGGTAGCCTGGTCTCTAGACAGCATTTTTCTCACCTGATGGCTTCTGCGGCGGCGTCCTATGTGAGTCTCAGCAGCAGGAGGTCGGCCTCCACCTGAATGCCGGGGTTGCCATGGGTAGATTTGTTTTGTACAGAGAAACCTCATCTCTTTCGTCACTGCTGGTTGTTAAGACCCACTTCAGAGGTCTGGTCTGAGTGGAAGAGAGGACCCATGTGTAGAAACCACTGATAACCTTTCTGAGAGTATTGAAATATTTCTAAAGAGACACAAAGGGTCTTCTTAAAATAAACCCCAAGTTTAGTGAATTCGTATCACATTTCCTCTCACCCCACGAGGCGGAAGTGACACCTGACTAGGTGTCCTCCTCAGCAGCTCACAGCACCTGGCGCAGCCTTGGTCCCAGCTGTGCCCCCTCTCACTTCCCTGGTATCAAGGGCTCCACTGATGACAGAGAGCCCTTTTTGTGCCTATGTATGGGGTCACGAGAGCTGCAGCCCTGTGGTTACACTGTCTCACCCTCTTCATGTGATGCCTGGAAACCAAGATCTGTGGGTCGGGTTAAGGATCTTCAGTCTGAAGGTGGCTTTGAAAGGCTTTGAAATCCCTTCAGCATCGGCGAGTTGGTTCTTGGAGTGGTGTTCACTGGTGTCCTGTCTGTGCTGGTGGAGACACAGGTACGTCTGTCCGTACCTAAGTAATTTGCACCCGGGCATAGCCAGAAGAGCCGCTTTGTCCTAGTCTGGGGTCTTTGAGTTCCCTTTCTGCCTTCAGGGGGTTCTGCTCCAGGGGTATGGCTCTCTAGAGGCCATGTGGAGAAGTTACTCTGCCAGCTGGGGTGCTGGGCAGCATGCATTCTAGGCAAGCATTCCAGCGCCGAGTCCCACCCTCAGGGCCGCGATGTTCTGTGCCCAGGGTTGTTCATCAAAGCTGAACCTTCCCCGTGGACGCCTAACCCAATACCTATTCACTCGTAGACTTTGTCCCCATGCCCCCAGTATCCAGCAGGATCTGGACTCAGTACTTCCCGCTTCTGGCACCCAGAGCCTGATGTCCTGATGTGCGGGAAGCTTGCTCCTTCCCAGGCTGCCTGCTTAGCCGAAACACTCCCAGCCTCGGCACCTGGCGTGGATACATCCCAAAATAGTCTCTTCCTGGTGTAGGCACTGGAAAGCCATCGCGCTCTCTTACACGGGTTACAAACTGTGGGGTTCTGGGATTTCCCCTCTCAGTGAGTGACCTGTCCGTGTGTCTCATTTCCTTGAGATTCCGCCTCCCTTAGGTGTCACTTCCGGCTGGGCTGCCAGGACCCCAGACTGAGGAGAAGAGCCTGGAAAGCCTTGCGACCTCGTTTGACCCTAGTGACAAGTTACTTTTCCTCACCTAACAGGGGGATCCCCAGGCCTAACTGAACATCTTACTAGTCTTGATGATACTGTTTTCGATGGAGCCGGCAGCTGAAACCCAGGAACAAGCGGCCACAGTTCCTTAGTGACCCTGCCATGATGTGAGGCTCCGGGGAGGGGTGGGGCACGAGACAGGCAGGGGCCACAGTGCCGTGGGTGGTTAGGGGTAGAATTTTCCAGACCTGAGACTATTTCTTTTATTAGTGACTTCATTGTTGACCTAAGTTAGGTCAACAAAAGACCAGCTGATAAAGAGGAAAAATGAGGAATGGGAAAACAAAACAAAACTGTAGCAGCCCAGCGTCATTCCGGTGGCCCTCTCTCTGCACACGCCCGCTGTTGTGGACGTAAACTCGTCGTCATCTGAGAAGAGCTTTGCATTTAGAGGGAAATGATGAAGATAGTTCCGACTTCTCATAAATCCTATGCCCATTGTCTTCCGTTATTTGTATTTGTTTATTCATTTTAGGGGTGAATCCCATGGCCTAGAGCAGTGGTCCTCAACCTTCCTAAGGCTGCTACCCTTGTTTTTTTTTTTTTTTTTTTTTGGTTTTTCGAGACAGGGTCCTGGATCTCGCTCTGTAGACCATGCTGGCCTGGAACTCACAAAGATCCGCCTGCCTCTGCCTCCTCCAGAGTGCTGGGATTAAAGGTGTGCGCCACCACCGCCGGCTGGGCTGCGACCCTTTAATACAGTTCCTCATGTTGTGGGGACCCCCAACCATAACATTATTCCGTTGCCGCTTCATCACCGTGATTTTGCTATTCTTATGTAATGTGAACATCTGGTGTGCAGGGTATCTTGACCCACAGGTTGAGAACTGCTGAACTACCATCCCATTCAAGACTTGGGCGTTTCAGCCATTACGAAACATCACAGTTTGGTTTGCATTTCATTGTAATGCAGTGTACTTGAAATTGCATTTTGTTTGTCCTGATGAGTCACAGCTGAGCTTGGGAGCAGTGTCTGTCACTCACTGTGCTCCCAGTTAGCCGCCACCTGTCCCCATAAGAACTGCAGGGGATATGGAGGCCCAGAGACCTGGGGCAGGGCCACTGTGTGTTCCGGTTTGTCCTGGAAAGCCCCCCAAGATTGTCCCCGCGGAATCTGACAGCTGCTGGTGGGAGGCTAAACGGAGAACATGTGAGCAGCAGTGTTTTTGTAAAAGGCTTCATCGCCGTGTTCCGTCCTGCGGCGAAGCGAGGTTTGCGGGAGGGGAAACGCGTGGCGGTGACGGAACCGAACACCACCATCTCTCTCTCTTTTCTGACAGGTTTGCTCAGCCACCATGGGTTGCAAAAAGCTGCTCGGCCTGGGTCAGCAGATGCTGCGCCGGAAGGTGGTGGACTGCAGCCGGGAGGAGAGCCGGCTGTCTCGCTGCCTCAACACCTTTGACCTGATAGCTCTCGGGGTGGGCAGCACCTTGGGTGCTGGTGTCTACGTCCTGGCCGGTGCGGTGGCCCGGGAGGACGCCGGTCCCGCCATCGTCATCTCCTTCCTCATCGCTGCCCTGGCCTCGGTGCTGGCTGGCCTGTGCTACAGCGAGTTCGGAGCCCGGGTCCCCAAGACGGGCTCAGCCTACCTCTACAGCTACGTGACGGTCGGGGAGCTCTGGGCCTTCGTCACCGGCTGGAACCTGATTCTCTCCTACATCATTGGTACGTGCTCTGGGCCCCTCCAGCCTGCCGCCTTTGACCTTTGACCCCCTGCTCGTTAGGGATGCTCTTCTCTCCTCTCCCAAACAACTGACTCAGTAATCTCCAGGCCGCCCCCCCCCACCCCCGCTTGACTGCTGTTTGTGGGCCTCTCGCTTTTAGCAGGATGGAGGTGTCTTCAGGAGTCACTGTTGTGACTTCGCTCTGAGTCTGTTCTAGTTGGCTTCCTGTTGCTATGATAAACACCGGGGCCTAGGGCAACTTGGGGATGATGAGAGAGGGTGTATTTCAGCTGACAGATTACATTCCATCAGTAAGGGAGGCTGGAGGCAGGAGCTGAAGCAGAGGACACGGAGGGATGCTTCTTACTGGCTTTCTCTCACGGTTACTCAGCTTGCTCTTTTATGCAACCCAGGACCACCGGCCCAGGGGTGGCTGGCACCCATAGTCAGCTCATCCCTCCCACATCAACCATTGATCATGAAAAAGCCCCGAAGACTTGCCTACAGGCCATTCTGGTGGAAATGATCCTTTAGTTAAGGCTCTCTCTTCCCAGATGATTTAAAAAAAAAAAAAAACTAACCAGCACAGCACCGGTTGGGGGGTGGATATCACTCCAGGACAACTATGACCATTCTTGTTAACTCAATAGATACGTGGCTGATAGGATAATTCTAATTTTAAAACACAGTTTTCTTTTTGTTAGTCCCCCCTCCCCGCCCCCCGATTATTACAGTAAATATATCGTGATAGACGACACTTTGGGAAACAGAAAAGCACAAAGAAGAGAAACACCCAACCTGGTAACCAGCAGAAACGGTATTTACTCAGTATTGCTTTGCGCCACCCGTTTACTGGAGGAGTGTGATACGGTCGGAACAACCTCGGCGCTGCCCATTGTTCACAGTTCGGGTTGAGTAGAGATGCAGGGGGATCGAACTCAGGACCTTGCCAAATGCTAGACATATGTCTTCCCACTAAGTTACACTCCCAACCCCTAAGTATATGTATTTTTAATCTCTTTATAAACCAAAATATCCCAATGGTTTCTCCATGACAGAATTCCTCCTGACTGTGTGTCATTGTATATACGTAGGTTTATAAGTACAGAATACCTTACCAAATGCACTATTTGGATCATATCTGCCATTTTTATAAGTAATTACTTTGTGTAATTGTAGACACAGCCACAGTTTCTTCCCCCCTTGAAACTATTGAAGAGGCAGAATGCCTATTTTAAAACCATTGTTCCCTCTGGTCCTCCATCCTACCTAGCCTTTCTTCATGTACTGCACTGACCATGAGCCTTAAACACAACCATCCATGAAAACTCAGTCCACCCCCACAAGGAAATCTGGACACGGTCCTGTGGGCCACCTTCAGGGACCTCCTGGACCTGCCTATCACGTCTGCGTGGGGGGATGCCGTAGCTGCTTGCTTAGGCTCTCAGGCAGAGGCTCGGGCGTCCAGGACGTGGTCCTTCTCTCCCCCAGCAGCTACGGAGTGAGCGAGGCAGCAGAGCCTCCCCTGATGGTTCTAATGTGAAATTCATAATTTGTCTTTTCCTGTGCAGCCTTCAGACTTGTAACCACAGATGACTCTCACATACCAGCCCTTCTCGGTGGGAACGTAGCTTCTGTCAGTGGGCTGTCACGTTCCCAGTCAGTTTACCTGGGCGTAAAATAACAGTCAGATTAAAGCAGGGTTTGCTGCTGTTAGACCAACAAAATAATCGGCTTCCCCAGAGGGCTACTTGCCTGTGTAAGACTCACGAAGACGATCTGGGAATCTAAACCCAGCCTTAGCTACTGAGGAAGGAGAGTTTTTCAGGTTTTAAAAAAAATGTATGTTTCTGCATTTTAAAGCCGTGATTCTGAAATGGGAACAGCGTGGCCGGGAAGAAGGCTGGGTGTCCAGCAGGGTGGGGTTTGGAACGTCTCTGCAGCAAGCTGGCTGGCCGCTTGAAGCACACGGGGGCAGGCAGACCATTTTTCTCCATGAGGCTCGTGGCCTTCGTGGACAGAATTCCTTTTAGTTTTTTTTTGGTTTTTCGAGACAGGGTTTCTCTGTGTAGCTTTGCGCCTTTCCTGGAGCTCACTTGGTAGCCCAGGCTGGCCTCGAACTCACAGAGATCCGCCTGGCTCTGCCTCCCGAGTGCTGGGATTAAAGGCGTGCGCCACCACCGCCCGTCCTAAGAGCTGGATGAGAAGTGACGCTCGATTTTTGAGTTGTTGGGAAAACACTTAGCATGAGAGCAAATAATGAAGTTGAATCCTGGTGTGGATCCCTCTGCAGTCTATGGAAAATTCAGACCCTAGTCACGGACGAGGCCCTCTGAAATGAAATGAAAATGCCAGTGTCCTTTCTTGACAGCACTAGAGAGGCAGCGGGCGTCTTCAGAATGAAAGGAGAAAGGGGGGGGGGAGGGAGCAGCCAGTACTGCGGCTGCTGGGGTGCAGCCCCTCACTCTCTGTAGCTGGGGCACTTGGGACTGGCGCATGGAGGTGAGCTGGCGCCTTCACCATGGTCCTGCACTCTGGGGAGGTACCGTGGTCCCTGGGTTAAGGTACAAAGTGGCAGGCTGGATGATCAGGGTTGAGTGGTAGGTTTGGCCCTGAGATGGTGTCGGTCCACTTGTAGATCACCTTAGAGATGAGTTCTTAGGGCGTGGATACCATTTTCCCTGCTGCCAAGAGCCATCCAGCTCTTCATGGGAGAGGGAGACCTCCTAAGCAGTGTTTACCGGACTGACCAGTTACCCATCCCAAGAATGCACTTAAAGTCAATTTCCTGACTTGTCAGTATTTGCCCTTTGAGTAAATCAAACTCAACTGAGAATTGAGTAAATGCTGTCAGAATGCATCAGTTGGTAAGGGCAGTTATCTATTTGTAAGTTTTTTTATTGTGGTACACACGTACACACACACACACACCACATTTATGCTCATACACGTATGTTGTGTGTTTTAATTGAACATACAGATGCTTCAGAGTTACATACTAATTACATCATACAACAAAAGTATCAAAATGAATGTGGTGTGGTATACTCTTGAGATTTCAGCACTTGGGAGGAGGATGGCAAATTTGAGGCCAGCCTAGGCTGTAGGTCAAGACCCTGTCAGACAATCAACGCTCCCCTGGAAAATACAAATACAGGCAATCCAAAGTGCAGGCCGTCCACCCAACCTACCAATGCTCTACCTAGGCTCAGAGTCCCACTCATGTCCCTCGTGGGCAGGGCTGACTGGTCATTGATGCTCTCCAGCATTGCTACAAATGAAATATTGCTGGACCCTTAAAAGATAAAAATTCAGGGCTCGAGAGATGGCTCAGAGGTTAAGAGCACTGCTTGTTCTTCCAAAGGTCCTGAGTTCAATTCCCAGCAACCACATGGTGGCTCACAACCATCTGTAATGAGATCTGGTGCCCTCTTCTGGCCTGCAGGGATATGTGCAGGCAGAACACTGTATGCATAATAAATAAATAAATTAAAAAAAAAAAAGATAAAAATTCAGATGCGGGGCAGGAGAGATGGCTCACAGGTTAAGAGCATTGACTGCTCTGCCCGAGGTCCTGAGTTCAATTCCCAGCAACCACGTGGTGGCTCACAACCATCTGTAATGAGATCCAGTGCCCTTTTCTGGCATGCAGGCAGACATGCAGGCAGAATATTGTATACTTAATAAATAAATAAACCTTTAAAAAAAATTCAAAGTGCAACTTCTACCGAATGCACATTGCCATCGCTGTATTAACACAGAGTTGAAAAAAATCCAAAGTTTCAATTTATGATCAAGATTTACTCTTGTGTATCAGTGTAACACACACACATGCACACACACAGCCCTGAAACACATGGTATCGATCTTGGTTGAGGATAAAATGTACTTCTTGCTAGCAGCCCCAGGTAGCGTTTGGCTTCACATATACTGATCAACCACCCCTCCGGTTGTAGCATGGACTGGGGCTCAGCTTCCACCGCTAGGTGGCGGCATGCTCTCCGTGGCCCTGCGTGGGTGCTATGACTTCGAACTTGACGAGGGGGCCCTCTGCTAACCACCGTTCTCTGTCACCGTGGTGTGTTTTGTGACAGGTACGTCAAGTGTGGCGAGAGCCTGGAGTGGGACTTTTGACGAGCTGATAGGCAAACCCATTGGAGAGTTCTCACGGCATCACATGGCCCTGAATGCCCCTGGGGTGCTGGCCCAAAACCCTGACATATTGGCTGTGATTATAATTCTCATCTTAACAGGTAAGGCCCCATTTTGACAAGAAGGTTGTGTTGGGGCAGTGGGTTGTAAGATTACATTGTTTCTTACATGTATTGATTTGTCCATCCCTTTACTGGTGGTACTGGGGATTGAACCGACAGCCTCATCGTACCTGGCCAGCACTGTTACGACCAAGCAAGTCCCCCAGCCCCTCTTGCCTTCTTGCCTTGTCTCTTTGGTGACTCTCCCCCATTTCTTTCGTTTCTTGGAATGTATATAGACAATTTTGTTTTCTCCCTGTCCCAGTGGTTACTTACAGATCATCCCAGGGCTGGCCTGAGTGCCAGCTGCTGAGGTCTGTGATATTTAGTTAAAAGAGAGAGTCTCAGGTGAGGTTTTGTTAGCACTGAAGCTTCTTTGTTCTCTCGACTCAGTGGATGACCATTTGGATAAGAAACTAGTAGTTTGTCTGCCAGGAAAATGTGGGGCAGTGAGCTCCCTCTGGAAGAGGAACGTGTGCCTGGGCTTTCTAAGGCGCCGCGGGTGGTTTTACTTACGCTTCACAACCACAAGAACACCCTTTCAGTACCTAAGTTGTGGCTGCAGAATTTGAAAATTCCAAGCCCTGCAGGACGCAGCCGATGGCAGTTTCTGGTTAGGGCCACTGGTCTGTGTCTCTGGTGCCCCGATGAACGTCTTTCCCCACAGAGCATTTACTAGACACACACGGAGCTTCCGCACATGAGAAGTTACAAAGTCTTGGCTGAAAGCAACATAACTCTCCTTTCACGCTGTGTAATTGAAGTCATCTCACCCAGGCCAGCTCTGGCAGTATTTTTGGTCCAGCTGACAGAAACATGTATCAGAACATATGTTTGTGCGACCACAGTTAGATTTTTACTTTCATAAAGACGAGAGGAAGGACACTAGAGAAAGCAATACATTGGAGCATAGTGGCGTCTTCCCTCTGGTTAGTTACTTGATCAGTATTTCAGAATTCAACTGAGGTGTGGAGTAGAAGTAGCCCCTGGGAAAGCTGTGATCTTGGATCCTACTGGCTGGTTCCTGGGTGACACTGGTCCCCCTTTCAGGTCTGCTGTGTGTTAGCCACGTGTTTCCTGATTCTCTATCACTGTAGCAAATGCCTGAGTTCACACCGTATCAAGAAAAAGGGTTTATTGAGGCTCAGTGTTGGAGGCTTCAGTTTGTGGTCACTCTGCCCTGGGACTTCAGGCCTGTGGTGTGGCAGAATGTCATGATGGGAGCGTGAGACTGAGCCATCTGTGTGTGTGTGTGTGTGTGTGTGTGTGTGTGTGTGTGTGTGAGAGAGAGAGAGAGAGAGAGAGAGAGAGAGAGAGAGAGAGAGAGAGAGAGAGAGACTTAAAATTCCAAACTGTGTGGGAGTCCCAAGGCTGTGAGGATGTCTTGGAGATAGTGCAGTTTTGGGGTTCCTGTACTCTGTTCCTTGATTATTATGTCTTGTTCTACTGCGATTTTATGAGCTAGAACTGGTCAAACTTCAACACTGTTTTGTGTGTACTAAATATGAGGAGGGACCATATATGCTACCAGCTCCTAGAACACAAAGAATTATCACTACCACCATGACCAGTGTCGCCAAGTAAACCCGCATCATTCCTCATCCAGAAACCGCTCATTCTCCCAAGAAACTGACCCAAGCGGCATTTCCTCAGAGAAGATAAATTCCCTCTAGCTGCCCTGTAGTTTCTTTCTCCTACTTGGTTCATGGATCAAGGCTCGGCCCGTCCTCCACCAAGGGCTCGCTCTTCCTGCAAGACTGACCGCCACGGCCCAGTCTTCTGCAGGTCTTTAGTGCACCACAGAGCATCCTGAAATCCCTAAGAATGGGAGCCCCCCACTGTCTGGTTGCTTAGATCTCTGCTCCTAGAGTGACAGACAGGTCTTTGGAGGTCCCATGCCCATGGGTTTCTTCCCCCCCCCCATCTTTTGTCCCATCCCCGAATGAACGAAACTGGGGTATGGTATATGGCTAACATTTCTACCTGATTTTCTGTCCATGCCTTCTCTTAGGATTGTTAACTCTTGGTGTGAAAGAATCAGCCATGGTCAACAAAATATTCACCTGCATTAACGTTCTGGTTCTGTGCTTCATCATGGTGTCAGGATTCGTGAAAGGGTCCATTAAAAACTGGCAGCTGACGGAGGAGGACTTCTTGAATAGATCTAGCCCTCTCTGTGGGAACAAGTGAGTTGATTTTGTGTGTCCCTTTGGCATGGGACAGTTCTCCATATTTGGCATTTCGGATCACATACAGGTATCGGGTGAAACAGTTCATGGGATAACATATGCCTTTTAAATATTACGTGATTTTAACTCATTTTGTTAAAGTGCTTTGTTTTGCTTTGTTTTTTTTCCAGTGAAGTAGCTTAGGAATTTTATTTTTAAAAATTAATTGATTAGTGTATTTACTTACTATATAGATCTGACTGGCCGCCAACTCACAGAGACCCACCTGCTTTTGCCTCCCAAGTGCTGGGACTAAAGGCATGTGCCGCCACGCTTCTCCTACAGTGTCCTCAGCAGGTTCCAATTACTTAGGAAAGGAAGCCAAATCATTATAATGTCACTTTAATCTTCTTGGTCAAATTTTCAGGTGAACCTTGGTGTCTCGGGACACGCAATGGAAGTTGTGAAGTGGTAGAATCTGTGCTTCCATTTTCATTAAGGCCAACGCTTAAATTGCTATGATGAAGGGATCTTTGTGAGACACAGTGGCTTTTGTAGTGGCTTTTGTACGGTAGAGGCTGGCCATCTTGGAACCCCAGATGTCTTCATCTGTCCTGTCCTGCCTGATGACAACTTTTGTTGGCCTCGTGTCTGGTTAGCGGTGGACTGGGTGTGCAAACATACCCCAGATGTTTCCAGAAGGGGAGGGAACTAGAATAAGGAACAGACAGGGTCTGCCCAGGGTGTCTGAAGATTGGCCTGGAACATGGAACACCTCCTCCACATCCCCAGCTCATCCACATCCCTCTATCCCCATCTTTATTCCCTCCACCAGAATCCAGTGCGTAGCTCCAGGGGAGGCTGAGAAGTGCCGTCCCATGCTGGGGGTCTGAGCAGTCACACATACCACATTGGTCACTGGCAACAGACCAGATGTCTGGCCTGTTTACTACTGCGATGGAAACAAGAAAATGTTGAATGGAATACACAGAACTCCCTAGTACTGCTGTCCTGTAATGATCAGTTCAATACAAGTATCTTTTCCTTTCCTAAATTCTAGCCTGGAGAAACGAGGGCTTTTTACGGCCTCGTTCCCAAACATTCTGGAGTTGGTTATACTCACGCCAGGTTTATTGGTCCACGTGAATTTAAAGCGGAGTGAAGCCAGCTCGAAACACGCTTTGGAGTCCCACAGTAGACTCTGGGAACCCCGGAGGTGGCATTTCGCTGGCTGCTGTTTACAGGCAGGAGCGAGACACAGGCCTTTTCTTGTTTCCTGGTGGTCAGTTGAGGTTGAGGTTTGTCCTTGCAGATCGCATGGGCTAGCGGCAGGAATTGCGTTTCCCAGTCGTTCTTGCCCTGGCCGCCTTAGGGGGATGGTTTAGACAGCACTCAGACAAGGTGACATGTGTTGCCTGGGTGGGGCCTTAAGTCCATCTGAAGACCAGAGGGCCTGCTGCGCCGCAGGAGACTGCCACTTTAGGATCAGAGCTTTACAGGCCTGGAGCCTGGCTGGCTCATCCATTTTATTAAAGTCTGTAAATGGCCGTATTTAATTTATTCATGCATTTTGAATAAAATGTCCTCTTCCAGCTGTAGATCTCCATTTCTTGCATAACCCTGTGTGGTCACGGGTCAAGTCGCTTGTCCCTCGGTCACCGGCCCACATCTCCTTCCCATCACTTGGGGGACCTCCTCCGGCAGTCACGCTGGAGATCTCCCGATTGCTTCTCCGTGGCTGTGATAAAACTCTGACTAAAAGCAACTCAGGGAGGAAAGGGCTTGTTTGGTTTCACACTTCCAGGTTCACAGTTCATCCTTGACGGGAGTCAGAGCGGGAACCTGGCGGCCTGACTTCGTCGTGTGTCCCGTGGGGTCTGAGGAGAGGTGTGGCAGGCCCTCTGTGGACCGGTTTATCCTTGCCCGTGGGTTCTGTGCTGATTCTGTCAGTTTCGGAAGGCTGTGTGAGCCCCTCACTGTAGTCAGGGCATGGGGGGGGGGGGCTTGCCTTTGCCTGCTCTTCAGCAAGCCGTCCAGAGCCCTTCCTCTTTGGTTAGTTATCTCCACCGGCTGCATGACTAGCCTTTGGCTCTCTTCTGGGCGTCCGGGCTTCTCCCCTCTCCTTGAATGATTGGACTTGGCACTTCTTTGTAAGTCCAGGCTGTCACTTCCGGGGGGCTCCTGCCTGCCTGGTTCTTCTGCAAAACAAGCCTTCAGAGGCGACACCCACACTTTACCTGCAGCCACACTAACCCCCCAATACATGGGTGCTTAAGGAATGCTGTGCTGCGGTTACCTAAAAACCAAGAAACAGTTCACTTGTGTAAACCTTAACTTCTTTAGAAAGACCTGTTTTTAGATTTAAGCTCCTGGGGCCTCCAGGGCCTGGGTCAGAGAGAGTGTACCCAGCTGATGATTTCCTGGGGAGAAGAATGGGAAGAGACCAGACACGGGGTTGAAATTTGCCTGTGTTCCGTTAGATCCTGCCTCTAGGTCTCTGTCTGAGAAAATGCTTCGGGAAGCGTTACTAGTGTGTGCCACTGGGGCCCTGGGCCCGCGAGGCCTGCTGCCCTCTTGAGTGCCCTCACTGGAGGCCTGGGGACTGTGGCCTGAGAGACTTACGCCCTGTGCGTGTCCTTCAGAGCAGCGCTGTCCCCAGAATGCAACTCCAGCAGGTGTTCTAAGCTTTGCTGTTTTCGTTTTTCTTTTTCTTTTCCAGTGACACAAACCTGAAACACGGTGAGGGCGGGTTCATGCCCTTTGGATTCTCTGGCGTCCTGTCAGGGGCAGCGACCTGCTTCTATGCCTTCGTGGGCTTTGACTGCATCGCCACCACAGGTATGTGGACTCCTCCTCCTCCCGTGAGGCCCTGCTCCCTCCCCCGCAGCCACTGGCAGTCATTCCTTTCCTGTGGGCACATTCCACTGGCCGCTCTGGTCCCCCAGGAGTAACTCTGTCGCTTTGGCGTTTCCTGCTGGTCTCCTCTCACTCTCTGTGGCCTTCCTCCATGCCCCAGGAGCAGGGCCTGACAGGAAATGACATCGTTAACATGTGTCATTAGAGAAGGACAATGACCGTGTGCCTGCAGCCTGATTTCCTATCTGCACATCCAGGCCCTTGTAATCGCAGTGTTGGTCAGGCTCCCTTGAGCCTCTCAGCTTTTCTCAGCCAAAGGAAACAAGCCTCTCCCTTAGCTGAACTGTGATAGAAAGGTCGGGAACACCCTCCCTGGCTCTGGTTGTGTGGTGGGTGTTACCTAGAGCCCTGCTCTGTCTCAGGAAGGTCAGGAGACCTCAGGTCCTGCAGGCCGAGCCCTGTGGGGCCTGTGCTTTAGTGGGATCATGTGAAGGATGGGGTGCCTCTTGCTCTCGCTCTTCCTCTCCCTGACTGACACCTGCTGCTTCTAGGGGAAGAAGTCAAGAACCCCCAGAAGGCCATCCCCGTGGGCATCGTGGCGTCCCTCCTCATCTGCTTCGTAGCTTACTTCGGGGTGTCGGCAGCCCTCACGCTCATGATGCCTTATTCCTGCCTGGACATCGACAGCCCACTGCCCGGCGCCTTCAAGTACAGTGACTGGGAAGGAGCCAAGTACGCGGTGGCTGTCGGCTCCCTCTGTGCACTTTCCGCCAGGTGAGGACAGCTTCCTGAGGGCTCCCAACCCCAGCACCCCAGCGCCGGTGGTGGGGCTTCTGTGTATCAGCCCCAGCACCCCAGTGCCAATGACGTGGCTCATGCGTTCCGTTGCTCTAACACACGTTGTTAGTAACACAGATGTTCCCCTCTGTCCACGGGGAACTACCGTCGGAGCCTTCCAGGGGATTCCTGAAACAATAGATTGTTCCAAACCCTGTGTAAATTTGGCATCGTGAGATTGACACCGGTGGCTAAGGGTATCATAGAAGCATTATTGTACTGACATTAGAGAAAGGTAAAACTATCAGTTGCATATTTCTGGAAGTTTCCATCTAAATCTCTTCGTACTGTAGTTGATGTCGGTAAAAGGCCCCAGAAAGTGAAACCAGGTAACACCGTACTTTTGTGAAGAACTGAGGCCAACTTTTGCACACGATGCTGGGCAAGGAAATGACTTCCTGCTCCTGACTTTGACCTCTGAACCGGGTTCCCTCTTTGCTCTATTTTTGGCCTTTAGTTTGACTGTAAGGCAGATGCTCCTTTGAGCAAAGGAGCCTTTTAATGTGACACCTAACCTCCCAACCCCAACACACATGCATGCGCGCGCGCACACAGGCACATACATACACATGTATACCTGTGCGCAACACACATAAGCACATACACACACACATGCACATGCTCGCACGTGTGTGCGCGCGCGCGCGCGCGCGCACACACACACACACACACGCATGCACGCACGCACACACGCACAGTGCTTCCCCACCAGCTTGTGTAAACAGAAACGGTCTGCTAATGATCTACCTCAGCCAGAACGACTGCAGACGTAAATGCGAGAGCCTGGTCACGGGTGTTGCCCCTGGACTGCCTGTTCCTTTGTGTTAGATGCCTCTGTTCTTTTCATTGGTCTGACACCTTCAGTGTGAGCTTTGTGAGGCACTCGGTCCTCTACTCCTGGGGGCCAGACACTATGGAGGAGTGGATCTTGGTGAGGGCGGGTACCTTTCCTTGGTGGCGGTCATGCGAGGTCTTTTAAGGCCTTGTTTGCCGGTGACATGTTTTTACTCATGTGTTTTGCCTTTTTCTCATCCAGTCTCCTAGGCTCCATGTTTCCCATGCCCCGAGTTATCTACGCCATGGCTGAAGACGGACTGCTGTTTAAATATTTGGCCAGAGTCCACGAGAGGACCAAAACACCAGTAATCGCTACGGTGACCTCAGGCGCCATTGCTGGTGAGTATTGGGATTCGTTTCCCATGCTGCTATTTGCACAACTAAATCAGTGTTCCTAGGGAGGCATCTTGAAGTGGACTCGTTTGTGTGAACTGTGAAAAGCTGTAACTCGTTTATTAGAGCTTTTGAAACTACAGCTTTTTACACTCAGAACGGGGTTCACTAAAAGTAACCACATTTAAATTTTTTTTTTTAAGATTTATTTTATGCGTATGGGTGTTTTGTCTGTATGTATGTGCACCCAGTGTGGGACTGGTGCCCGTGGAGACCAGAGAGGGCATCAGGTTCCCCAGAACTGGAGTTAACAGATGGTTGTGAGCCAACATGTGGGTGCTGGGAGCTGCACTTGGGTCCTCTGCAAGAGCAGCCGGTGCTCTTAACTGCTGAGCCGTCTCTCCAGCCCTAGATAAAAGACAAAGAAGGCAGCTTACGGAAGATGGCCTGGAATTGTTCTTAGAGTTTAACTCCTCCTGTGATCTCTGTAGTCAGAACCCCCCCACAACCATCCCTTCAAAGCCGTCTACCTTTCCTACCTATGAGTGTTTGTGTAGAATTTGGTAGGCCGGCCTCTTGCATAACCCAAGCCAAAAGGACTCCTGGGTACGCACCAGCAAGTCTAGTGTCCGTGCATCTTAGCTTATAGATTCCCTGGAGCATGAACGTCCCTCACAATCATTTTTTTCAAACATGTACCATCTCTTTCCCAGGGGGGCATATATATATTGCTGTTTGCCCTCAAATAGTGGTAGACCCAGAGCAGAGGAGGGTTTCTTCTGCAGTCATGTCCATCCCCAAGAGGACAGTTGTGATAGATAAACTTGGTAAACTAAAGGACCTTTGAGCCGTATGATGGGGTGTGTGGGGGAGCTGAAGGAAGCCTGTGTACACACTGCTATGTGTCCTGCAGTCTGTTATTTCTGCCTTTCATGACTGAGGTTAGAGCCCACTGTCTAGCTAGAGCAGTGGTGGCCTGGAGAGGCCCACGGTCACAGCCAGGAAGGCAGAACTGCTCTTGATTCCTGTTTGTGTTCATGTCAGAAGCAGGTCCTTGCAGGATCTGACCAGCACTGGGGTCTTTTTTGATCAATCGGGACAGATGGTACAACACAGTTTGTATCTCAGTGTCTTGTCAAATGGTGACTAGCAGGACAACTGACCACCTCTGTCTTCTGCCTGTCTGTCTATCGATCTATCTAATTTTGGTTTAATTTTCGAGACAGGGCTGTGTAGCCTTGGCTGTCCTGGAACTCACTCTGTAGACTAGGCTGTCTTTGCCCCTGAGCCCTGGGATTAAAGACGTACCTCACCGCCACCCAGCTGATAATTGACCATCTTTAATGAACAAATGATGTACTAGTTTTATTAGCATTATTGATTTATTATTCCTTGCTGTGCTCACAGAAGGGGGTCAAACTGTGACCTCCAGGTGACTTTAAAATACACACCACTTGCCAGACCAAGTATTTGTCCATTTTTCTCCTCTTAGGTGGGATTAATATTTGCTGTTCTTTAACCACCTCACATGTAGCAGTTTGGGGTTCTCTGTGAGCAGGAACCGAGGCGAGTGTGGCATGTGCAGTTGGACAGCATTCCAATGATATTGAAGGCCTCCACTGCTCTCTAGTCTTATTATTTATTGTCAGTTTAAATTTGTTTGGCTTGCATTGATCTGATGGCGCTTCAGAGATGTCTGTGGGGAACGGATAGTTTCATGATCCTGCTTTAATTTGTATTGATTTGCATGGGATTTGAAGATATCCCAAAGTAGATCCTGCCAAATTATTTTTTAAACGGGAAAACTGGCATTATACGCTGACATAAATAGACAGACAGGGAATTTTTACATAAACACATGTTTATCATACTATGGGAGATTGAACCTAGATCTTGCGTATACTACGCCAGTGCCCTCACTGACATGGACCTCCCAAGCGTGTATGCTCAGTTCTTCTAAAGGCCAGAGTTGGGTGTCCGGTTGGCAAGCTTGGCTTGGTGACCAGGATAGTACCACTTAGGAATAACATTGAACCTTTCACATGTGAGGACAGCTGTTTTCCCTACTCACCTGTCCAGAGGAGGAGCTCTGGTGAGTCTTCCCAGAGCAGCAGACCTCCCATCACTGGTCTCTCATGATACAGGTATCTTTAGATGATACGCTAGGAAGCCAGACACTGTGGCCTGCCCTCTTTAAGACTGGGTACCTAGAACTTAGTGACTGGCACACTCTGGAACAGTGCTGGCTACCTGGCTGGGTGAATGGAGAATGGAGAAGGATGAATGGATGGATGGATGGATGGGTGGAGGATGGAAGAGGATGAATGGATGGAAAAGGATGAATAGCTGGATGAGTGATGGATGGATGGATGGAACAAGGATGAATAGATGCATGTGAATAGAGTATGGATGGATGGAGGAAGGTGGGTGGAAGAATGAATGGAGGATAAAGGAGTAGATAGAAGAAAGACATATGAGCAGATGGAGGATGGATGAATGGATGGATGAATGAATGGATGGGTAGATGAATAGATGGATGGGTGGATGGATAGATAGATGGATGGATGGGTGGGTAGATGGATGGATAGATGGATAGGTGGATGGATGGATGGATGGATAGATGGATGAGTGGATGGATGAATAGATGGATTGGTGGATGGCTGATGGATGGGTGGACAGATAGATAGATGGGTGGTTGGGTAGATGGGTGGATGGAATACTGATGAGTGAATATGGATAGATGGAGGAAGATGAATGGGTGGAAGAGAGATGTACATTTGGACGCATGGATGTGGCTGTCCATGAGTGGCCAACATGTGGCAGAAGTCACAGTGGGGTCAGAGTTACAAGAATCCAATGCAGATCCTGGCTCTTGCATTCACTATCTATATAATCTTAGCTGGGTTGGCTTGGAAGGTTATAAAAATAATAATAATAAAATAAATGAAAGTACTCTCTATGCAAATTTTAATGTTAATTACTTCTACTATTTCTTGAGAACTCTTTCAGCCTTGAGCCTGTCTTCAGCTGAGCAGCGTGTCTCCCTCATGGACAGGCTGAGTGAGGGTGGGGCTGGGAGTACCCCGGATTACAGATGAGTGGTCGTCCTAACTATAGGAGGGGGCAGAGGCCACTTGCAACCCTGATGTCTGTCTTCTCCCCAGCTGTGATGGCCTTCCTCTTTGAATTGAAGGACCTGGTAGACCTCATGTCCATTGGCACTCTCCTGGCCTACTCTTTGGTGGCTGCCTGTGTGTTGGTGTTAAGGTATGTATGGCTTTCCTGGGTTCCATGACGATCGAGCGTCAAACAGCCCCATTGTGGCTGTACTAACAGTTCTGACAAATGGCTTGTAAGTTTATAAGGTGTAATTTTCGGGCCACATTAGCTCAGTTGGGGGCTGCTGAGTAGAAGGTGGAATGTGGTCAGTGCTTGCCGCCCCCGCCCCGCCCCCTCCTCTGCTCATGAGCTGGTTCCTCCTGTCATGTCGTCTATTTCTCTAGCTAAATGTTAGAAGGTTAGAGACAAGTCTTCAGCCCCAGCAGTGGTCTGAGTCAGGGATCTGAAATTTAGAAGGCTTAGGGCATCAGCTGGCCCAGTTGCTGGGATAGGGGTCCTGGGTTCTAGCCCCAGATTACATCAGCAGAATCTACAGCCTGTGAGAGCAGGTTGGTGTGATGCTTCTGTAGCCTTCTTATTCTGTCACCTGGGAGTGAGTCCCACCACACGGTGTGGTGTAGCTTTCAGGGACACTTGATTCTGATTATCTTTTGAGGGTAGGAGCATGAAATTGGCTTTAGAGCTACAGAAGCTTGGCGCCGTGGTGTCTCACCCACCCAGAGCTTCCCAAAGCACACGCCTGGCCTCCATCTTTGCTTGGCCGTGGAGGAACAGAAATCTGCTCTCAGGATGGTCACAGGTGGCATTTGTCATGAGAACATGTATTCACGATGACTAGTGTTTGTTACCCAGCCAGAGCTTCCTTCTTTTTAGGTATTTCTTCTTAGAAGGCAAATAGCTTCATTTTTTTCCAGCACGCAATTTCCATAGAACTTGGGCTGGTCCCTGGTGATGTTGCAGACTCAGCTCAGACAAGTTCATGGACCCCTGTTCAATTCTAGAAGCTCAACACTAACGTGTTCTTTGGGCTCTGCCTTCTTTCCTAATTGGCCAAATGACCACGCATAGGTGGGTCTGTGGGAGACACAGCTACTTCTCCTGCTGCACGCTCTTCCTGTGCTTGGAATTGGTTCTCTGCAAACCAATTCAAAAGGCACTCTGCTTTCAAAAGCTGGTGAGAACTTGTCTGGTTGGGAAGGCAAGGAACCACCTCATGTAAACACATGCATCATCTGCAGGCAGCGTGCGTCTTAGAAGTCACAGCGCTGCCACGGGCTCAGTTCTCAGAGCCACGGTTGTGCCTGGCTCTGTAGTTACTCCAAGGCACTTGGAGTTTTAGAATAGCTCCATCTAGTTAGGTCATGCAGACAGAGCTTACCCTCCCGCCAGCAAGGATTCTCCAGCTTCCTGCAGAAAGTGGAAGTGTTACTGCTTATCTTTGGCCTCACTTGGAGCTCTGGACAACAATGATTTGGTGAGAAGTGCCTGAGCCTTGTCACAGCCAAGGGCCACAGCTACTTCCTTGATCAAGAGAACTGGACCACTTCCCAATGGTCCCCCATTGTTCCTTCCGAAGTGAGGACACCAAGGTTGAGTGTTGGCCCAAAGTAGGAAGGACTTGACCTGTCCTTGGTTCTTGTATTGCTAGAGACTACACCATTCTACCCACTTATGTCCCATGCCCCAGGCACCTTATCTTTGAAGGCTCATTGACAAGTAAAACTGGTATGTGTGTCCTTTCATTTTTAGGGGGTGGACAGGGTTTCTCTGTATAATCCTGGCTGTCCTGGAACTCACTTGTAAACCAGGCTGGCCTTGTACTCACAGAGACCCGCCTGCCTCTGCTTCCTGAGTGCTGGGATTAAAGGCGTGCGCCACCACGCTGGACATGTGTGTCTTTTCTGTTTTTCTTTTTCTTTTGGCTTTTCAAGACAACGTTTCTCTGTGTAATCCTCACTCTGTAGACCTGGCTGGCCTTGAACTCACAGAGATTCACTCACAATTTTATTTAGATTTAGTTTTATTATTTTATGTGTATGAGTATTTTGCCTACATGGACATGTGTTCACTCCATGTGTGCTGTTGCTTGAGGAGGTGGTGAGCGTCCATATGGAGCTGGGTATGGGAACAAAAGTGGATAACAGCACTCATGCTTTGGCATATCTTTACAGGTACCAGCCAGAACAACCTAACCTGGTATACCAGATGGCCAGAACCACCGATGAGTTAGATCACGTAGACCAGAATGAGCTGGTCAGTGCCAGTGATTCCCAGACAGGCTTTTTACCGGTAGCCGAGAAGTTTTCTCTGAAAACCGTACTCTCCCCCAAGAATATGGAGCCATCCAAATTCTCGGGGCTGATTGTGAATGTGTCAGCCAGCCTCCTAGGTAAGAGCTCCCCTTTTCCTGGGAAGGGGTTGGAAGTCTGGCGTCTTGGTGTTGTGTGGCTTCTGGTCCACAGGGATGAGAGTAGGGTTGGGATGGGGGAGCAGGTGGGAGAGGTGGGTGATACCAGCTTTTCACCCTCATTTAGTTCATGACACAGACACAGTCTCCTGGGAGATTTGGGGAGAGACATGACACATATGGGGGTTCTCCCCGCTCTTCTTTTTCTCTCTCTTAGCTGTTCTTATCATCATCGTGTGCATCGTGGCTGTACTTGCAAGAGAGGCTCTGGCCGAAGGGACGTTGTGGGCAGTCTTTCTCATGACAGGCTCGGTCCTCCTCTGCATGCTGGTGACGGGCATCATCTGGAGGCAGCCTGAGAGCAAGACCAAGCTCTCGTTTAAGGTGAGCAGCTTGGCAGGCCCGTAGGGAACACACTGATGGGTCACAGACGCTGTTTTTTCTGCAGAGGCCGAGCCTTTGTGGCTCGGCCAGGCCTGGGAATTTAGAAGGGTAGCTTTTGCCAACTAAGCTCAGGGACCCTCGGAGCACAGAGTGTCTTGCCAAGTCAGGGCTTGTCTCTAGAAACAGGAGCCCCTCTGTCTCCCTGGTCCTCAGTCGGGCACACCTTGTCTCCAAGGGCCTCTTATTAAATGTCCTGATGTCACACATTGCTTGGCATTGGAGGTGGCCAAGGCCTCTGCAGTTTTCAAATAATAATAACACAGTTTAACCTTGGGGATGACATGGACCTCCCTCTTCTAGTCTCTGGTGAGGAATGTGTGGGCAGTTCTGTTTGGAGCGGGCTGTTGGGTGTGCCGCCTCGTCAGATCTGATACTGCCTCGTGTCTCTGCAGGTACCCTTTGTCCCCATACTTCCCGTCTTGAGCATCTTCGTGAACGTCTATCTCATGATGCAGCTGGATCAGGGCACATGGGTCCGGTTTGCAGTGTGGATGCTGATAGGTACGTGAGGTCGTGGGTTTTGCTGAGTGGCACACGTTTGGTGTCCCAGCTTCTCTTGGAGTCAACCACGTGTGGCTGCTCATTCTCCCTCCTGCTTCTTAGCCGGGTAGTCAATGTTGCAGACCCTGCCTCCTTTTACCTTAGATAACGTGAAGAAACATGAGTGGTCAGTGGCTTGCTCTAGAACAATGTTGAACTCCTGGTGTGTTGTGGGACCTCCTTCCCTTTTTAGATATTTTTTTAATAGGCTGTTGCCCAAGATAGTTATCTCATCAGGCTTGATCTTGAAGTTTCAAGTGTGAGGTCTGAGGGCTAGTTATTAAGAAAGCACTGGTTGCTCCAGACCGAAAGTCTCGGTTGCCCCCGCTTGGCCAGCACCTGGCCTGTATGGGCTCTAGGCTCATAGAGTACTTCTGCATGAGTACCTCCTACAGAGGACCTCTGCCAGCAGGCAGCATGTGGTGGGGCGTGTTGCCAAGTGGAAGGCTCTTCATAGGATGACAGATCTCTTGTTCTTGACAGAAGACCACCAGGGTTTGATGCAACTTGGGGGCTGGGTTCAGTTTAGTCTGGGGGTGCCTGCTTGGGTGCTGGCCAGCCTTCACTGGGGCTGATGGTGTGTACCCTCCCCTCCATCCCCCCACCTCAGGCATCTCACCTTGGAGCTGGTTTTAGTCCTTTTCATTCAGTGCCTGGTTGTGGTGCTGATGGCCTGGGGCACTAGCGTTGATGTGTATCCTAGGGCCACACACCCTTACCATGCCTTCCAACCCTGGGACCCTGAGTAGAAGCTCCTGAGTAGCACCTTACGCCTTTTCTTCGTACATTCCAGGAAAAGGTCCTCATTTGCTTTACAATCTAGAGAGCTGTCCACAGCCCACTGTGACCTGGTTCTTATTGGCGGAGGTGGGGGGGGGGGAATGACTATTCCCGACATCCCTACAGAGCAGAGGTGCCTGGGTTGTAGAGTGTGAGGTCACCCCTGGACTCCAGGCAGCTGAGCCCTGCAGGACTGCATTCCTATGTAGGTTGCACAGGTGGCCCTGAGCCATGGGGTCCCAGTCCCTCGTGGGTGTGCAGATGTGGGGAGTCCTGGAGGCCGGGCCAGGGCTCTGCCTCCTGCGCTCACTACATGTCCTGGTCATCGTCCGTCCGTCTAAAGGTTACTTATGTAGAAAAACCAGAGCCAGCGGGCCAATCTAGGCAGAGTACCTGCTAGAAGAAGGAACAGTGTCTCTCTGGTACTCTGAGGCCACCTAGTGGCAGACAAGAGCCCAACACCTTACTGCTCAGGGAGGCCAGCGTGGGAGGGACGCAGGACAGGGACTTCAGCTGACCTCCTCTCTGGGGCCCTGTGTTTCCTCTCCTGGGGTTGGAGTCTGCCTGGGCAGCCCTCTGTGACTCCTAAGCCAGCCCAGGTCTGGCAGCTCCGCCCGCTTCCTTCACACCTCCGTCCCCCCTCTCTCCCCATAGGCTTCACCATCTACTTCGGTTATGGGCTGCGGCACAGCGAAGAGGCGTCCCTGGCTGCTGGCCAGGCCAGGACTCCCGACAGCAACTTGGACCAGTGCAAATGACGCGAAGCCTCACCCCCCGAGGTGGCAGCGGTTGAGGGGTGCCCATAAAGGCCCCGGGACCTTCCCACTCTCTCCACCCACGCCACAGGATCCGCTCACATCCCCAAGGTCACCGAAGGTGCCGTGAGCTGGACCGCAGCCTCAGCCACAGCTGCCATAACCTGGCCGGACAGCCCTGCAGCCAGCTCATGGGGGTCCTGGTCACTTCCGGACAGCTCCCTGGTCTCATTTCTCCCTGCCAGCTGGGCCCTTTGCTGCTGCTGCTGCCCCAGCAGAAGGAACACCCCCCCGCTTCTCCTCTTACTCGGGAAGCAGGCCTCCCTTCCCGGTACCACCCTGGTATTGCTGATGTACACACTCCAGATCCTGAGCGAGCATCTCTCTGTCAGCCCAGGTCAGGACGGCCTCCCGCCCACAAAATGCAAGACTAGCCCACCTGCCGATCCACCGCGGAGTACCCAACGAGGAGGAACTGATCTCAGCTTACTACTTCCCGCCTGGGGTTCACACACCCTTTCCCAGCCTCTGTGACACTGTGACCGACCCCAGCATGGCATGGGCCATTCGTCGTGAGCATAGAAGATGGGAGGGATCCCCAGAGGGATCGGTGGTGTCGAGGTGGGAAGGCCAGCTCTGCTCACATGGACCAGGGGACAGTCTCTAGTCCCATCCCAGGCAGGCCCACATCGGCTTCTGCTGCTCTTGGCCTCCGGCCTCACTGTCCTGAGTCATGGAACGTGAGGTCGTATTATTAGGATTGAGTCAGGCTCTTGGGTCTTCTAAGGTTCTTCAGACAGGTGTTGGCTCAGTGTCCCGGGGCTGTGGCGCTCTTCCGGCCTCTGATGTGATCCGTGTGGCCTCTTACATCTGAGGAGCGCTGTGGAGTCCTCCTGTTGCTTACTGTGAATCACTCCACCAGATTAGGTTGGGGCTTAATGTTACCTTGGAAAATAGCCAACTAATTGCCGAGTGCCATCAGCTTGTGGCTCACGGCGTGAGGTCTGCACATGACGTGGCTTGGGGTCCTGCTGCTCTTCCTCTTGTGGTCTCTGTCTTTCCGCGTGCTGTGGTGGCTTTGTCTGCTGCTGGTGCTGAGATTTCCGTAGGCTCCCTGCGTATGCCTGCATTTCCCCTCCCCGTGCCCCTCGGCTCTCAGGGCCTGCGCTCTTTCCCTTACTCTGTGTAGACAAACCAAGGATGATGAGATGGCTGGCGAATACTCATTTTAGAACCATTCAGAGCCAGCCCCCTCCCCGACGCTGGGGTGGGGAAGGCCAGTGTCTTAGGCCAGTGTAGATGATGATGCTTTGACCCAGCTTCCTTTCCTCTCTGGCCCTTGACACAAGCCTGGTGGAAAGAGGCTGGGCAAACGGATGGCGCTGTCCTCCCCGCTGTTCTCGAAGGTTCTTGGAAATACAGGATAGCATGTAGCATATGCAGGGCGTCAGGCTCCATCCCCAGAACTACAGAAAATTAGGGAACCAGTGCAACAGCCTGAAGGCTAGGTCAGCTAGCGGAGGGCATCATGGCGGCCAATCCAGGCCTCTGTGCCAGGCCCTGACCACCTTCTGGGTGCTTTGCCTCACAGGCTGTCCGAGAATATTCCAAAGGGAGTATTGTAAGACCCTAAAGGTTGAGTTTCCAAAGAAAGGTATTTAAATTTATGTAGATTGGTGCTGTAAAATATTTTGATAACTATTAACTTATTTTGTTCAGGTCTTGACTATCTGTTGTCTTCTGAGGGCCTGTTAAATATTTGTCTGATTTTTTTTCCTTGTTATTTTTCTACGTAGACAAAGGAGAAGGGAGAACCCAGTGAGGCGTTGGGAGAATTCTGTTCACTTTATTTTCTTTCTTTGGTTTCTTTTTCGGGATAAGGTTTCACTCGGTAGGTAGCTCACCTGGACTTTGGTATTGTAGCCCAGGCTAGCCTCTGCCTCGGCCTCCTGAGTACTAGAGTCTAGGTAGGAGCCACCACTCCGTCTCTGTTACTGCTTTCTGGATGGACCCCCTCTGTCTGCGGCAGCCTCGCAGTCTTTACAGCTGACGGTTCAGCCAGCGGCCCACAGCCCGCCAGCAGCGGGAAGGTGTATTCAGGGGTCTGACCCGCCCCCCACCGCCGCCGCCGCCGCCGCCGCCGCCGCCGCCATCTCTCCTGAGGACTCCTGACGCTGGCAGACACAGGAGCACCCACAGGCCCTGGTTGTAGGGGGCAGGCACCCTGTCCCCACTTCCGAGTCAGGAACAGAAGCTCAAGGATGACCTGCATAAGTTGACTGGCCACTGTGCTTTTACTAAGAGTGGACAGTTGCCAGGGGAGCTGGGGGGGGGGCGGCGGGGGACGGTGACCCAGAATGGCACGCTCCTGGAGTGAGCCTCTAATACGATTTTTGTCCCATTGCAGTTCTTCCTCCTGAAATACACAAGCCAAAACCCAAAACAACACACACTAACAAAAATCAAAACCTGACAGTGTCCCATCTCTTAGCCTCCTACCCACAGGAGGGTCTCATTCTGTTGCCCAGCTTGGCCAGTATTTCCTGCCTAGTTGGGACTTGGACATTTTTCTAAAGACACATTCCAAGCCTCGTTTATCTCCGACTAGAGTATTCACATTGGAAAGACCCGGTTTTCCATGAGTTTGTGCCCTTCCTGTCTCTGGGTCGAAGTTCATGAAGAAGCCAATCCCCAGGGAGCTCTGTTTAGGAACGGGATACAAGATGTCTCCGCCTTCCAGAAGGTGGCCCTGGTGGGGGAGGGGGATGCTGTTTATAGAGACACTGGGCCCCCATGTATATGCGTGGAAGCATGCGTACACACCCGTGCCCATACCCCATCCCTGCCCACACTGTACAGTCAGGCATTGGTGGGTTTACCTTGCAAACAAGGAAAAAGTGGAGGCCTGTCGTCCCGGGCGGTTCCCTGGGAGATTGCAGGGTTTGTGCTGTTCTGGCTGCTCGCGGTTTGGCTTTTACAGTGGCAGTGGCCCCATCATCTCACATCTCCAGCTGACAGCCATCCTGTCCCCCCTGTGCTGACGAGGTGGTCTGGACACCATGTGCCACCCACCCGCCCTTAGTGACCTGCACGTTTGGCCCAACCGGTGTGTGCACCCCACCCCACCCCACCCCACCCTGTCTGTTGCCTGCTGCTTTTCATGCACAGGGCTGAGAAACATCAGTGGGCATGTGGGTGCCTTGCCCCCCGACCCCAGGCAGACATTCTGATTGGCTAGTGTTTACATCCCCTCCAGCGAGGAACTCATCAAACACTGGATGAAGCTCGGAAACAGCAGCGTGAGAACCCGGATTCCTGGGATAAGCGTGGGCAGGCGCTGCTGGCCTGTGTACCTACCTACAATGCAAACATGCCTGGCTCTCACTAGGGCCCATCCTTTCTGACTTGAATGTCCCATGTCTCCACAGACGCTTACATCTTTCTAATAAGAGCTCACTGTTGGCACCCAAGCATTAAGGAATGTTAGGGGTGGGATCTAAGTGCCAGGGTGCCCATCCCTTGGGGTGTTGGTGGGTGGTGGGAAAAGGGAGTTTGAGTCCATGTCTGGTTGAGCTCCTCGCGAAGGGAATCGCTGGACAGGATACATGATGCTTGGAACTGTTACGGAATTCAAATCCAGAACTGAATGTATGTTATGTACAGTTATTTTATGTAACTCAGACCTTCTGTTTGCTATCGTAATGAGAAGATTGTAAGTAAGGCTCCTTGGAGGAGAGCACGCTGTCCATTTTGTTAGGCTTGTTTGGGGTCATGAAATGCTTTATTGACACAGTGTATGGGTGCAACTCGCTACAGTCCTGAGGCCAATTTGGTCGTGATGGATTTTTTTTTTTTTAAGGCAAAAAAAAAAAAAAAAAAAAATTCCCAGCTGAGGTTCACCTCCCTCCCTCTAATCCGGTCTTTTTGTACCCACTGCTCTATTGAGCTGGGAATGTGGTGTGGCCAAGGGTCTTGGGACATAGTGACCAAGGAACCCTCCTGGACCATTCTGTTACATGTACTGAATGGCTGACGAAAGAGCCCCGGGGGAGAGGAAAGATCACATCCAGACATCTTCTCAGGGCGCTGGAATGCCCAGCAGGGCCAGGAAGCAAGGTTTAGGAAGACATATATGGACTAATTTATTGACAAGGGTTACCTTTGTGTTCCTTGTCAAGCTTTTTGAGTTTGGGACTTATTTTCCCATTTGAGAAATTATAATATATATATATGTATTTAAGATATTTCCTGCTTCTTTTGTGCCTTGCAGCCTCAATGGGTCATGGATCACAAAGGGTGATGATACTGATGAGGGTTGGTTTATTATCAAACCTGAATAGTCGTGGTTTCTCCGGGACAATTTTTTTTTTCCTTCTACTGAACATGGAGCCATTATTAAAAGAGTTATGTGTGGTTTTTCATTATGTAAATTGTATATATTTTTTTGCTTGTTTGAGGTTCTATTTTTCTAACAGTCTTGCAGTTTCTTATAATGGTGACATTAGGTTAAGACTGATGCTAACTGTAAATCAAGCTGGTCTCTGCTGGATTCCCGTGGTTTAATTATATTTTATTTTAAGGCCAAGTGCAGGTGTCATCCATCGCCCTTTCTTAAAAATGTGAAACTTATGTTTCCCCTTGTTGCTGAATACATTGTACACTGGCGACCCCCCCCCCATAGATCTGTGTCATAAAATCAAAGCTATTTTGTGGTACATTATCTCATGCTTCTGCAGATGCTAATAAATCCTGTCTGGCTTCCACACACACTGTGTGGTCTCGGGTGTGCTGGCAGCTCTTGGCTCCCGAGCATGTTGCTGTCTGAAGAGTCAAGGGCTCGCTTGGCCGCTTCAGAGTCTTTCTGCTGCGTCGCCGCTGCGCACAGCTGGCGCCTTTACTCCTATGGCGTCGATTTTTCTAGAAGCCATTTGGGGAAGGCTTTAGGCCTGTCCCTCCAGACTTGGCTCTCTCTCTCCTTCACTCCTCCAGACTCACCTGGATGTAGGGCTCCAGCCATCACCAGCCATCCATCTTAAGTCTCCGCAAAAACCCCGCTCAATCTACAGACGCCAGAGGCTTGCCCTGGCTGCCACACACACCCCATCTTAGAGGAAACAGGCTTTGTGCAGAGCACAGGCTGGGGATAAGACTGGAACTCATCCGAGGATGATTGTTATCTCACTCCCCAGTGCTCTAGGGTCGGGCACACTTCCCACTCATTCATTTCTTGCACAGGAGGCGAGTTCAGCCAGTCAGGCTTTCAGGCCCTGCATGCAGAACAGTGATTCATAGGCTGGAATGAGGCGGAAGCTAAGCTTTAACCTCTGTGTTTTCCCAACTGATAGTGGTGGTGGCAGACACCCAGGGTGTAATTCTGGCACCAAGCACCAGAACCAAGTGTCAGGACTCTATAAGGATGCGTGCGTATCACACATCTGACGTCCCTTGACTGGAAGTAAAAGTATCAGCTCAGGACCCCTAAGACCAAGTCCTCAGCACAAAGGAGATTTATTTGTCCCAGAGGGGGAGGGGGAGGGGCATTTGTCCCTGAGGGACGGAGGACTGCCTCTGGATAGGGGGGAGACAGCCGTGGCCCATAGGCAAATGCCAGTTTGTAAAGGTAAAGTGGGAAACCCGTATGTTAAGATGAGGTGTGGCATTTTAATTGAACGTGTTAAATAGGTGAGCCAGAGGGGCCTTTTGATTGATGGATTTCAATACTTTGATAGCTGGACCCTGGTCGTCAACCTCAGGAGGAGGGATTGGCCAAATAAGGGAACAGACCTTGGTGGCTAGCTTCCGGAATGTAATCAAATGGTTTTTAGCAATGCAGAGGGAATTAAGGAGAAGGTCAAGGCCTGCCAGAGCCATGCTCGAGTGGCTAGTGTCCCTTCATTGATCAGTGGACCCCTGAGCTTGGGCAGTGTGAAACAATGGTGGGCAGTATTGGGGAATACAGGACACCTCTATGTTACTGTTAGATACAGCTTACAGGGGAGCAAGAATCAGTCCAGTCCCATCTCACAAAAGTCACCCAGAGAATACTCCATGCGCCCTGGAACCGAGAAATAGGCACAGGTATGTCTTGGTCCTGAAGTTCATTAAGAAAGAAGTTATCAGCCAGGTGTGATGGTGTACGCCTTTAATCCCAGCACCTGGGAGGCAGAGGCAGGTGGATTTCTGTGAGTTCAAGGCCAACCTGGTCTCTAAAGCGAGTTGCAGGACAGCCAACGCCACACAGAGAAACCCTGGCTCAAAACCCACAAAAGGCTACCATGTCTGGCCCTCTTGAATTGGGCTAAGTGCAATGTGGGCCCTAATTCCTGCAGCTCCCCAGTGCCATCTAGTGGATGACATTGGGTGCTATGCTCATAGCCTTCAAAGGCATGCAGAGGCATCAGCGATTTTCAAAAAACCCTTTCCATTGTGGGGTCTGGTGGGGGGTTGGGGGGAACGTCCTGTGGCGCAGACTTCCCCTTGCCCTGTTTGGTTATGAAACACTTGCAGAGAGTCATATCTGTCCCCTTGTGGCTCAGTATTCTAGGATTTGAAGAGTCTATGACCCCGTAGCCCAGGGAGCTAGCTGCCCTGTCTTTCAGCTGCATCTGCCATCTGCCAACTCCACAGACCTGGGCAGATACACGGCTGCCGTGGGGAGGATTGGAAATGACCGCTGTAGCCTGGCAGCCCCTGCTCAAAGGGAGCCCCCTCGTTTCGCTGAGTTAATCTCGCCCACCAGGCTAGAAATATAGTCTAAACAGGTATGTGGACACGTGCACAGTTGATACAGACCCCAGAGTGGACAGGCTCTGGACCGCATCAGCACACATGAGAGCTCAGAGAGTCTGAAGACCACAGTTGTCCACCATCCACTAATGCAGCAGCTGCTTTGAGAAGGACCTCCAACCATCGGGAGGGTTCCATCCGATACCTGGGTTCCTACTTGACCCGATACGAGTCTCCCACACAGGTGAGCCGGGATCGTCAAGGCTCCTTGGTTCAGAAAAGGTGATGAGGGGTTAGAGGCCCGAGTTTCCTCTGCCCGCAGTGAATCAGCCATGGGACAGGACACAGTTGTCCCTAGCTGGTGCCGCTCTCGATTCTTAAAGCTGCCAGGGGCTGAGTCACCACCCAGCCCTTATAAACGCAGGTGCTGGTATCACCCATGTTTACCACACAGGGTGGAGAAGAGGACAATGAACGATAGCTACTAAAATGTCGGGGACACGCTATTCCCTGGAGAAACTAAGAGTTTAAGATGTAGTGACAAGTTGTGCATTAATCATTAGGTTGCTCTCTGTAATTTGGGAAGCAGGGCCGGCCTGCAGGGGGTCTTGGGGGCTTCATCATGGGGCCAGGAAGTGCCATGAACATAGGGGCAGCTAGTCAGGTACTGTTTACAAGAGCAGACTTGTCTTCCTGCCACTCCCACGCACCCCACCAAAATGAACTGGAACTGGAAATTTTGGGTCTCCCTTCTGACCCCCCCAAGCAATGTCAGGCACCTGTAGGACACTCTAGGGCCAGGCCAGGGTGGACAAACTGGCCATAATCCACAGTGGAAGGCCGGTGAGATGGGGAGCGCGGCTGATTTCAGACTGGAATGAGCAAAGCTGCATCTTGGCCACTTGTGGTGGTTTGAAGGAGAATAAGCACATCGGTCATCTGTTTGAATGCTTGACTCCAAGGTGGAGGGCTGTTGGGAAGGCACACAGCTTTGGACCTGCTGAGTCTGGGAGCAGAGTCAACCCAGCACCCACAGAGGTGGTTATCAAAAGAGCCTTGCTTCGCTGTCTGGCATCTCAAGCCTGAATGGGACATGTCTCCAGTTACACACATCACACTGATATCATGGAAAATCCCTCAGGTTCGTTTTAATAAGCGTTAGAGTTCAACACAAATATGGAACACAGAAACTGGAGGGGCAGGAAAAAGAACATTGTGCCCCTTCACCTAATCCCAGAGTACCAGACCCCAAGCCCCCAACCTATCCTGACACCACCAGAACCTGGTCCCAGCCTATGGCAAGTGAGTGGGGACGGGCCAGCAGGACCTCCTGACTCCTAACACGAACCTAGCACTTTGGCAGGTCCGTCTGTAGCAAGAGGGGAGGACGCAGTGTCCCAGCCTGGGGATGAGGACAGATGGATTCCCACGCTGAGAGGTCCTGGTCACCGCAGCGTGGAGACAGGAGGATCACAGGAGAGGCACAGCAGCTGGGCCACCTGGGTCTCAGGACTCAAGTGGGGCACCATACGTGAGAGGGGTCTGTGATGGAGAAACAGCCAGGGCCATGGGGAAATTGGTTCAAGTGCCCACGGTCAAGGCTGGTGAGGGCAAAGCTCTAGTCCCCCTAATGAGGTTACACAGATCTAACATTGCTACCACTCTGACCACAACAGCCTAACACGCTGTACCACACTCTCCACTCCCATCCGAGTCTGCATTGCTGAGTACCTGCCATCAGCAGGTACCGCTGTGGAGGCGGGTCCTAGATCGGAGCGCTAAGCGGCCACCACACTTACGCCTGCAGGTTGTGCAGAGAATAAAGAACTGTGCGTTGAACTGACGTGGCATGAGCTACTCTTACGGGAATGCCCAACTCAGTATCCCAGTATCATGCAGAGCTAAAGGAAAAAGACCTGTTTCTTCAATGTGTGACAACTGTGTATGTCTCCAGAGTGGGCAAGCCCCGTGGAGGTTGGTGACAGTCAGATGCACCTGAGACCAGGAAGGCCACCTTGGCCACGGGAGGGATGTAGACCACATATTAGCCACGTGCATGTCCTTGGACAAGCTGATACCATGGCTCTTCTCATCTTGGGCATGCTCAAAGACAGGCCCATGCTTAGGAAGTGAAGGGTCTTTGTCATATACAGGAAACAAAGGTATCCTTATCACCACTGTATTGACGGATAAAACTACTTCTCTTCTGTGGGTCATGCTTCTAATCTTCCATAGCGCTACATGAATACTTTTCATGTTCTAACTCTACCATCTTGGACACAAAGACCAGTTCAGCGGCTGCTGGCTGCTGGCTGGTACACTGGCCTCCCTTATTTGGGAGAGCCTCCAGGGCTAAGACGGGACCACAGCCAGGCGCAGCCCTAGTGACCCCCCCATCAGAAAGGATGATCTAGCACCTTTAGAACTGGTTTCCCACTCCCCCCCACCCCCACCCCCTAGACAGAAAGGTTGGTTTCTGGAAGCCCTGACTAGAACCCCTGAGCCATCTTGATGTGTGGTGATGGGGTTGAGTCAAAGAATTGAACTGAAAATGGGGGGTGTAGGTGGGGGTTGCCTGTGAAAGGCGACAGGCAGACACGTCCTTATTCTATGCCGGGTCGAACGTGGCCCCTATCAGGACTCTTCCTTCAGGAGGATGGGCCATGCACACGGTATTGCTTTTCTCCAAGCTCATGCTCACCCTCACTACAAAGGTCACACTCCTCCGGGTCTTCCTGAGGATGCAATAATAGCTCGATGATGGACTCCAAGATGCTATTTAGAGGGGGAAAGAGCTAAACCGGTGTTTTCAAAACTATAATGAATCACTAAGGGGAAAAACACTGGCCAAACCACTGGACCCCTCAGTGTTTCCCCCGCTACATTTCATCCTCTCAGGATGGGAGGAGTCATAATTAAATCCTGCAGTGGGGTAGCAGGGACCCCACCTAATGCGGGCTAAGAAGCTAATTGCTCCAAAGGCAGTTGCCATCTACAAATCGCTGGTGTTTGTGTTAAGCAGGGTACCACTCAGTGGCA